GTGTATAATTTAATAGACCATACAAGGAAGTCACATGGTGTCCATGTATTTAAATATTAATTCAGATCTGATAAAAATCATTATCAAAATTTGGGCTTCTGGAAACATCGAAGCTTTTTTCTGGGGAAGTACTGTAAATTTATTGGGGGCCAAGAATTTTTTTTGCATAGGGACCCAAGAGTTCTAGTCACACCATTGGAAGGAACAATGCTTCAAATTATTTCTCAAAGCAATCTCTCTACCAAATTTCCATTACAACAAAAACCGAAATCCATTTGTAACTAGGCTTACTAATTGTCTTTTGGAATAAATGTATAATTGAAATGTAGAATATGCATGTAATTTGTAATTTTTTACAATAGAAGTGATTGTTCTCTTTCTTCCATAAAATTTACCAAACTGCACCAAGGTGATTGCAAAAATGTGCAAGTACTGCATTGAGTTTGCAAAAGTTGATAGCTTATGTGAAATATGATTGTGACCTATCTACATAGATCCATCTTCTACTAATTAGCATATCAGCCATGTCAGCCAGAGATTCAGGAGAAATAAGAATAGTACTATCTAAAAAAAAATTTACCACTTTTTTATCTATATATAATAGTTTCTTTTTGACTGTAGCATTTATGCAGTGACTAATAAACATTTATGCCAACAATGTAATTAATGGAAGTAGTTTTTAATGTTACAGACAAAGCTACTACAAGATACTAGTATTATCTACAAATTATGGTTAAAGCATAAGATAATTATACATATAGGATTTTTTAAAATAATTACTAAAAAAATGAAATCATCTGCACATTGCATGCTGTTACTTTTAATTTACAATTTTAAAAAACTTCTTTTTTGGATCATTAAGATCCCATAAAATTATGAAGAAACTACATGGGGGAAAATCAGTAGTAAAATAAACAGATTTTTGTACTATTTTATTCGTAATAAAAAAAAATAATGAATATGCATAGATGCATCTTAAGTCAGCTTTCATACCACAAGCATAAGTTCTTTTATATCTATTTACAAATTCATCTTAAAATGTTTTGATGATAAATAAGAATGCAGTTAAATATTTTTTGAAACCAAAGGAGATTTGTTTTTAAATTTATTAAAACTGTATTCCCTTATGATTTAGGAAAGATTACTTATTTCAAATATTAAAAAGGAAAAAATTAAGAGTTTTCAGTTTGAAAAATTAAATGTCACTACAAGTTACTTGATTTTCATTTTGGCCCAGTGGTGAACATTTCCATCATAAAAATCTCCAAGTGCCAGGGAACATTTGTAAAAAAAAAAAAAAAAAAAAAAAAAAAAAAAAAAAAGAACTATTTAAATTGTAATCCTAATTACCTGGATACTAATCACAGTACTAATTAATTTAATCATAATGCTCCACCCTATATGAATAAGAATTGATTTTAAGGAAAGGAATTTTTCACAACTAGAGGCTTTTCAATGGCTAAATGGTTAAAGCTGGAAAATCTGGTAGTTGTATGTTGGATTTGATTTCTGTAGAACGGGTTGATTGTAATGATGTTTTTAATAGTTTTCTTGATATGTAATATAAATTAGATTTAGTATTTCCAGCAAAATCTTCCTGAGACATTCCTTTTCTAGCAGAGGGTACTTGAGTGCTTAGTCATAATGAAATGGTTCAATTGGACCATAAAACTATGCAGTATTGACAGTATCATAAAAGGTTGTTGAGTTAGATTATGATAAAGAATATGAGGAATACCGTATTTACTCACAAATTTTTTCCCCATTGCTTTATTTCCTCTAGTTTTTCAGCATATAATATAGAAACTTCTGATTTATGGTAACAATATAAAATATATGTACAAATAGGAAAGTATTTTGGATAAGTAAAAAACACATTATTGAAACATATTATAGTCTTTTGAAATAAATAACATAATAATATTAATATGTCTTTATGTGTGCCTTTTAAGCAATCCCTTCAGATATAGTATACAGTGTGTACTTTTCCCTTCCTCATTACTGAGTTATAAAATCAATAAGAAGGGGAATATGCAAATAAATATGATATAACTTTGAAGAAATCTCTTTCTGAGGAAAATTTTTCTGATGTCCTAACTCATTATATAATCAGTTTCCGGTATCACATTGAAGGGGGATACAATTTTTCTGTTCATTAAGTTTTGGGAGTTAATCGATTACATAAGAGGAAATATATGGATTTAGTCTATATTAATAATTGGTTACTTTCTAACTGTCCATACAGCCATGAAAAGTCATCAGTTTGTTAGTGAAATATGTTTGACTGTTTTTGTAGCTCATGAATACTATTCATGCACAGCTGATCAGTACTGTTCATTCTGTTGTCCCTGTATGATTTACTATTATTAGCCTCTTCCCGAAATTAGGGTTAGAAGGAAACACTGATCAGTGAAAATAATGATTAAAATATAAAACATGTACTTTTCTATGCCGCAAGAGTGTGTGGTTTGTTATTGTCGCTGTATATACTTGAAAACCTACCAAAAACAAGGCATTTTTCTGAATGCTGAAAATGGTTTGTGGGTAATCAGAAAGTATCATAATTGATGTTTATAAAACTCCGATATGTGTAAGTAATTGGCTCTCAATTGTATTTTAAAAATTATTTTAGTAAATGATATAATAAATAAAAATTACATCATTTTACTGTCAGGTTTGTTAAATATTTTCTAGACCAAACATAGGTTTATAATGATTAATTACTGTATCAATTTTTATTTTTTTTTTAGAATGAAGTTAGACATGCAAAAGAAGTGAAATTTGGAAATCTTGACATCAAATACACTTCATTAAAATCAGTTAATAAAAAAACTGAAAATCCAAATTTATTATTAACTGATTCATTAGGAACAGATTTACTACCTGGTGTATATGAAGGTAATTTTTTAAATTGATTGTACTACAAGCATGCCATTTATTTGATTGAAATTATGTAATAATTTAATTTATGCATTTTGCTGAAATAACTCAGTTTTTTGTATTTATTTTCTTTTTATGTTGTATGTATAATTTAGATAATTTATGTCATTATTTTTCAAATTTTTGCTGCACACTGATTATTCACATGCAAATAATCCTCAACACAGATTGTCTGTGCTGTGTTCCCGAAGTATTTCCTATAATGCGAGTTAAAAGTTATATCTAAAATTCATTTTTAATGTTATTATGGTGCCAAAATGTTTTAGGTTATAATAAGCTAGTTCCTGATTTCTTTTAATTTAATTAACTCAGCTACTAAGTGAAAATCTGTATGAGAGAAAACGAGTGGTTAATATATGACCTTGAATGTGCTAAGAGAACCAAAAAACAACCTTACTAAGCAGAAGTTATTAAAGATACTATCTTTTATTGCCATTAAGGCAACATTTCAAAGATTAAACACAGTATAAACCACAAGAAATGGAAATCTAGGAAGTTTATAATATATATATATATATATATATATATATATATATTATATATATATATATATATTATGTGTTGTGTATGATGATTTATTTTATGCTGTAAGTAATTTGATATTAGATGACAGTTTGAGTAGGGAATGCACCAGCTCATGTTTTAATCATGGCCGAGAAAATTGTTGCATATACTGGCTGGAAACTGCAGTGTAAAGGATGACTGGATGGAGTTTTAAGATATGGACTTGATGAAATTCTAACACCATAGAATTTTTAATCTTTCATTTTTCACAAAACAGAGCTATGCTTTTAATCCAGTGTAAGAAGAAACAGCATTATGTATTCAGATTTTCAGTCTAATAATAATGATTAGCAATTTCTATATGATATTCCTAGTTGTACTAATTAAAACTTTACTTTTTTTTTAATCTATAGCACAAAACTCGGAAACCAAAAATAGATAAATAAATTGTGCAAGAAAAATCAATCAGATTTTCAATTGAGTTTGGAAAAAAAATTAAATTTTGAAATTTCTTTTAATAAAGAATATAGGTGATACATAATTTTTATTATAGAATAGCCACAGCAATAAATATTTCACAGAAAAAGCATTGGCCTTTATGAGCATTGAACTGCATGTTTGAAATGAATTCAGAACATTCATAAACGTGTTAATCATTGATTATTTAGAGAACAATTTTCTTTTTCTTTTCATTTCTAAATATTGAAGAGGTGGCTGAAATAAATTAAAAACTGACTTTATAAGGAACTGGTGTGAAAATTTCACTTTGCATTTTCACTAGACATTAGAACTTTTGGACATGCAGATAAGCAGGCTCATTTATTTGAATTCTATAGATATTTTATCAAAATCCAATTGGGGAATAAATTTTCCTTTGAGATTTGTAGCACAGAAACTATCTTGATTGACCTGAAGATGTAGTGATTTATTTTGTTGTAGATAATTTGATATTAGATGACAACTTGATGAGGAAATTCACCAGTTTATTATTTGATCATAATCAAGAAAACTGCTGCATGGTTGGCTGGAAACTATAGTCTACCGGTAGGCAGCTCACCAATATCAAAGTGGTAAATTTGCTGAACACTGGTAGTTCCAACCTAGATTCAACTCCAAATGAACTTTCTGTTCCGGTGCACCGGAACATACTCCCACCCTATCAGGCATTAGTCCTGATATATGGGCAAAGGAGCTAATTTATGAATGTTTCTTTTGAAAATAGAGTGTTTAGTTTTAACTGTGGCCACACGAATCAGTCCGTCTGCACCATGATGAAGTTCGACCACCTGTCCTAGTGACCAGGAACCTGGAAGATGACCATCATCTAGTAACAGGACGATATGTCCAATTTTCATATTCGGCTGAGTGTCCTTCCATTTCTTTCTGGTTTGAAGAGAAGATAGATATGCTTTGGTCCATGATTTGCAGAAGTCCTTCCGCATCTTTTGAAGGAGATCCACCTATTCCGTATATTGGCAGGACTAGTAAGAGGTAGTTCAGGAGGGGAGAGGATAGGTCACGTCTCCTGTAAGAAAATGTGAGGAGTGAGGAGTGAGAATATTAATGCAATCAATGTCAGTATTGTTTACACTACATAACGGACGAGAATTTAAAATGGCTTCTATCTGAGCCAATAGAGTTGTCAATTCTTCGAAAGTAAGTAGCGTTTCACCTATTACTCTTTTACAGTGATATTTGGTTGATTTAATTGCGGCCTCCCAAATTCCTCCGAAATGAGGAGATGCTGGAGGTATAAAGTGCCATTCTATTGATGCTTGAGTTAAATGATGAGCAACGGCTTCGTTCTTAGGAAGTGAAGCCCACAATCGTTGTATTTCGCTGAGCTTTTCGATTAGCCCCAACGAAAGTTTGTTGCATTGTCGCTGTAAATGTGACTTGGAGCTCCTCGTCTAGCACTGAAGCGACGCAAAGCAGCTAAAAAAAGCATCAGCGGTTAAATCGCTCACTGCCTCGATGTGTAGTGCCTTCTTAGTAGCGAGACAAATAAATAGAGCAATGTAACCCTTGGTTGATTTTGCTCCACGACCCTTGTTGAATTTGATTGAAATAGGACCGGCATAGTCCACTCCGCAGTTGAAGAAAGTCCTCTCGAGTGTTACTCAATGCTTAGGTATATTACCCATAAGCTGAGATGATGTGGCAGGAGCAATGCACCTCCCACCCAGGTAAAAAGACTGTTTTCATCCATAAACGGATGGAGGGAGCGTAGCTGACTTTTCTTAGGCAACGATCTTTGATTTTTAATGCATTTTAGGTCTTCATTAAAATAATCTTTCTGAACCCACCGAATTATGATTATTTCTGCATTTTTAGTTTCCGTGTAAGTGAGTGGAGAAAAGGAATCAGTTATAAGTGTTTGACATTTGTTATTGGTTTTGCACTTATTGATGAATCTTAAACAATATGCTAAAATGCGTATAATCTTAGAAAATGATGAATATTTTTCAAATAAATCACTATATAATTCACTTGACATAGCACTATGAAATGAAAATATAGGATCAGATCTTTGTTCAGCTTTAATTAGATCCTTGATTTCTTTGGAAGCGGATTCCTCTTTCGGCCAGTGAGACGAATCCAAAAAAAGCCAACTTGGGCCATTCCACCACAAGTTGCAATTAGAAAGACATTTGGGATCAATACCACGCGAAGCGATATCTGCTGGGTTCTCTTTGGAAGGGACATGCCTCCAGTATTTTGTTGGAAGTACTTCGATTATTTGAGAACGTCCGGTTTGCAACAAAAGTCTTCCATTTACGGGGATGTGCCGAAAGTCAGGAAAGTACGACTTTGGAGTCAGTCCAAGCGTAAACATCAAACTTATATTTTTTTAGAGTGTTCATGACTGCACGATATAACTTTGAAAGCAAATGAGCACTGCATAATTCCAATTTAGGAACAGATACTTGTTTGATAGGTGCGACTTTAGTTTTAGAAACTAAGAGAGAAACCTTTATTTCATTTCCGTGTATTTGTTTGCAATATATTGCAGCAGCGTAAGCAAGTGTTGAAGCGTCGCAAAAGCCGTGCAATTCAAATGTGTCAGAGGAAATAAGCGTGACACCTCTAGGAACGGTAAAATGTTCAACTGCATTGAAAGATTTCTGAAATTTAAACAAATCCTCAGCAAGACTTTGTGAATAGGAGAATCCCAGTCCCCTTTTGTAAGCCAGAGCTTTTGATAAAAAATTTTCAATACAACAGTACATGGTGAAATTAATCCTAATGGATCGAAAATGCGTGCCGATTGGGACAAAATGTGTCTTTTTGTCAGCGGTGAGGGGTGAGTGTAAGTGCGGGTTTGAAAATGAATGTGTCTGTTGAAGAGTTCCAAAAAAATAATCCTAAGACTTTCGTGTGCTTTCCTTATCATTAGGAATTATTTCTAAATTAGTGTCCGTTGAACAATGTTCTTGAAATTCTGCAAGAAAGAAATGCATTTGAATTAGAATTCCACTTTCGTAGGTGGAAACCGTGCGTTTGTTGTAAAATATTGGTAATTTCCTTACAAAGTGATATTGCATCACTATCGGTACTTGAACCCGATAGCAAATCATCCATGTATACATCGTGTAGTAAAGTATGAGAAACAGCACTATTTTGTGAATAATCTAGTGCAATTTGCTTAATGCACCTAGTGGCTAGGAAAGAAGCTGGAGCTAAACCATATGTTACGGTGTTTGTTTAACTTGTATGTGCGTATTTCTTCGTTAGGATTAAACCTCCAAAGAATTTGTTGGTAGTTCCGATCCTCATCGGACACTAAAACTTGACGGTACATTTTCTCTATGTCTGCTGAAAAGACTATTTCCGGAAATCGAAAATTAAGTAAAATTTCGAAAAATGTCTCGTTGCAATTTAGGACCAACACCCAAGATTGAATTCAATGATTTACCGCTTGGAAGTTTTACATGAAGCGTCGATCAAAAACGACTCTTAATTTGGTAGTTGTACTAGACGGCTTGATCACTGCATGATGGGGAAGGAAATATTGCTCATTCTGAAATCTATTTAAACAGTTTTGTGTGACCAATTCCATATGACCTAAATTTTCATATTCATGCATAAAATCCTTGTATTGGTTTTTCAAATTCCGAGTTTTCCTTAAATTTACGTTCCATAGCATATAATCGAGAAAGTGCAGCTGGTTTTGAATTACCTAATTCAGATTTAGATTTTAAAAATGGCAACTTCACCACAAAACGACCATCTGAATTAATTGAGTAATTTTCCTGAAAATGCGTTTCAACAAATTGTTTTTTCAGGTGAGAATACAGTGTCAGTTGAATTTGGTACTTCTTCTAACTCCCAAAACCGTTTTCAATTCGCTATCAATATTTATTTCATAAATATGCAAGTTTGAAAGTGAATTTGATTTCGTTTGAGATTCCGGTAGTTTTCCGGATATGAGGAAACCAAAAATTGAGTTTTGA